TGACAGCGTGTGTGTTTCTGTGATTCTGGAAGCTATACCATGAGTATTGGAAATGTCAGCAAGGTTACCCACAGTGGTCAGGTTTCAGCTGAGCTTCCAGATGAAGACAGATTAGGAAGTAGAGACGATGACTTCTGAATATTGATTCATTGAAAACCTTATGAATAGCAGTGGAACACTGTCAGCACCAGAATATTGAATATTGAAACATGATGAAGAGCACTAGAATATTGTCAGATGTAGTGCTAGAAGATGATCCCCTCACGTTGGAAAGCACTAGAAATATGACTGGAGAGGAGCTGTCTCCTCAAAGTAGAGTTGACTGTGATGACATGAGTGAAGTAAAGCCTTTGGAACCTTCGGTTGCTGATGGGGCACAATTCAAAATTAAGAGAAGCAGATGCAAGCATCCATTAATAATTAGAACAGGGAATGTACAAAGTATGAATCTCGGAAAATTGGAAATTGTAAAAAATGAAATGGAATGCATATACATCAATATCCTAGGCATTACTGAGCAGAAATGGACTGGTATTGGTCATTTTGAATCTGACAGGCACATAGTTTACTATGCCGATAATGAAACATTGAAGAGGAGTGGTGTTGCATTCATCATCAAAAAGAACATATCAAGATCTGTCTTGAAGTACAACCACTGTCTGTTATTGGATACTATCCAAAAGCCTACAAGAAACACTGGTTAATGCCACTATTATTCAAATTTACACACCAACCACTAAAGCCAGTGATGATAAAATTGAATAATTCTATAAACTTCTTCAGTCTGAATTTGATCAAATATGCAATCAAGATGTATTGATAATTACTGGTGACTGGAATGCAAAGGTTGGGAACAAAGAGAAAGGATGAGTAGTTGGAAAATATGGCCTTGGTGATAGAAAAGATGCTGGAGATCACATGATACAATTTTGCAAAACCAGTGACTTTTGCATTGCAAATACCTTTTTTAAACAGCATAGAAGATGATTATACACATGGACTTCACCAAATGGAATACACAGAAATTAAATTGACTACATCTGTGGAAAGACACGGTGGAAAAGCTCCATATCATCAGCCAAAATATAGCCAGGGACAGACTGTGGAAAAGACCTTCAATTGTTTATGTGTAATTTTATGTGCAAATTGAAACCTTTCAACAAACTGATGCAGCCCTAGAGGCAAACTGAAGCAGCAAAAATTAAAAACAGGTCCATGAGAGTCAACATATGACTTTGAACACCTGAATTTAGAGATCATCTCAAGAATAGATTTGATACATTAGACACTAAAGACTCAAGACCAGAAGAGTTGTGGAATGACATGAAAAGCATCATACAGGAAGAAAGCAAAGGGTCATTAAGAAGACAAAATTGAAGGAAAAGACCAAAATAGATTTCTCTGAAACTTGCTCTCCAGCATAGAAATTCTAAAGCAAATGGAAGAAATGAGGAGGTAAACAAGCTGAACAGAAAAATTTAAAAGGCAGCTCAAGAAGACAAAGTCAAATATTTTAGCAAAATATGCAAAGACCTGGGGTTAGAAAACCAAAAGGGAAGAACACGCTCAGCATTTGTCAAGCTGAGGGAACTGAAGAAAAAATTCGAACCTTGACATGTAATATTGAAAGATTCTATGGGCAAAATATTGAATGATGCAGAAAGCATAAAAAGAAGATGGAAGGAATACACAGAGTCACTGTACCAAAAAGAAATGGTCGATGTTCAACCATTTCAAGAGGTAGCATATGATTAAGAACCAATGATACCAAAAGAAGAAGTCCGAGGTACAATGAAGGCACTGGCAAAGAACAAGGCTCTGGGAATTAATGGAAAACAAATTGAAACCTTTCAACAAACTGATGCAGCACTGGAGGCACTCACTCATCTATGCCAAGAAATTTGGAAGACAGCTATCTGGCCAAATGAGTGGAAATGATTCATAGTTGTGCTTATTTCTAAGAGAATTGACCCAATGGAATGTGAAAATCATCAGACGATTTCATTAATATTACATGCAGGTAAAATTTTGCTAAATATAATTCAAAAATGGCTGCAACCATACACTGACAGAGAACAAGCCAGATTCACAAAAGGGCGTGGAATAAAGAATATCATTGCTGACGTCAGATGGATCTTAGCTGAAAGCAGAGATTTCCAGAAGATGTTTACCTGTGCTTTATTGAGTATGCAGAGGCTTTCTAGTATGTGGTCAATGACAAGCTATGGACAACATTGCAAAGAATGAGTATTCTTGAACACTTAATTGTGCTCCTGAGGAACCTGTACCTAAACCAAGAGGCAATTGTTCAAACAGAACAAAGGAACACAAAATGGTTTAAAATTAGGAAAGGTGTGAGCCTGGCTCGTATTCTTTCACCATACTTATTCAACCTGTATGCTGAGCAAATAATACGAGAAGCTGGGTTCTATGAAGAAAAATGTGGCATCAGGATTGGAGGAAGACTCATTAACAACCTGCGATATGCAGATGATACAGCTTTGCTTGATGAAAGTGAAGAGGACTTAAAACATTTACTGATGAAGATCAAAGAGCACAGCCTTTGGTATGGATTACATCTCAATGTCAAGAAAACAAAAATTCTCACCACTAGACCAATAAACAACATTCTTATCAACAGAGAAAAGATTGAAGTTGACAAAGACTTCATTTTGCTCATGTCAACTATCAACACTCACTGAAGCAGCAGTCAAAAAAATCAAACAACGTGTTGCATTAGGCAAATCTGCTGCACAAGACCTCTTTGAAGTGTTGAAGAGCAAAGATGTCGGTTTGAGTACTATGCCTGACCTAAGCCATGAAGTTTTTAATAATCTCTTATGCATTTGAAAGCTGGACAGTGCATAAGGAAGACTGGAGAAGAACTGATGCATTTGTGTTATGGTGCTGAAGGAGGATATTAAAAGTACCATGGACTGCCAAAAGAAGAAACCAATCTGTGTTGGAAGAAGTACAGCCAGAATGCTGCTGCTTGGAAGCCAGGATGGCCAGAGTTCATCTCATATTTCAGACATATTGTCAGGAGGGACCAGTCACTGGAGAAGGATGTAATATTTGGTAAAGTGGAGGGTCAGAGAAAAAGAGAAAGACCCTCAATGAAATGTATTGGCACAGTGGCAGCAGCAATGGATTCGAATGTAGCAACAATTGTGGGGTTTGCGCAGGACCAGGCAGTGTTTCGTTCTTTTGTGCATAGGGTCACTATGAGTCAGTACTGACTCGGTGATACCTAACAACAACAACAGTCTTGTTTGTAACAGCAAAAAGAGGAAGAGCATCAATAAAATGGACTGACACATTGGCAACAGCCGTGGACTCAGACCTAACAATTGTGAGGATAGTGTAGGATCATGCAGTGTTTCATTCTGTTGTGCAGGGTCATTATAGGAAACCTATAGTGAATCTAAACATCAGGATGTTCTGTCTCAAGATTCTAAACCTACCTGGTGTGGCACTGTAGAATAAGCACTTGACTATAAAGTAGGTTTGAGCCACAAGGTCAGGGTTTCAAATTCACCTTGGAAACTCTATACAGGGTCAATATGAATTGGAACCAACTCGACAGCACTCAACAACAACATTCAAAGGCAGGTTGATAGTCTGTCCTCTCACAATTTAGTAGCATCTGTTGTTATAGAGCCCCTGTGTGGTGCTTTAGGATGCCCACTAGAGTGCTAACCACAAGCTTGTGGGTTAAACCGATCAGCTGCTACTCAGAAACCCTATACAGGGTTTCTATGAGCCAGACATATTTTGGACATATTATCAGGAGGGAACAGTCACTGGAGAAGGATATCATGCTTGGTAAGATGGAGGGTTGGAGAAAAAGAGGAAGACCCCCAATGAGATGGATTGGCCAGGTGGCATCATTGATGGACTCAAGTGTGGCGGCAGTAATGAGGTTGGCCCAGGATCGGACATTGTTTCATTCTGCTGTGCATGGGGTCGCTATGAGTAGGTTCTGACTCGATGGCACCTGACAACAACACAACAACATGAGCCAGAACCGACTCGATGGCATTTAACAACAACAGTTGTTCCTGGCACCTGAAAATCTTCTTTTGGAAATTGTTTTTTGCCTAACAGAATAAATTCCAATACAAAAGAGTGAAGAGTCATAATCTGATTCCCTATGTAACAAAGAAAAATGAAGACTTCTTTATTCACTGAAAAATAAATATTGAATAGTATTAAATTTTGTCTTGCCAAATCAACCTTTTTCCTATTAAAAAAAGCAGATGTTTAGTTCAAGGTTGCCCACTGGAATACATGTTTACGTCTTCTCTCTTACCCATAACACACTGACTTCACAGAAGAAATAGAAAAGGCGATAGAATCATAAATACATGCTATTGTAGGAACAAATGGAAAATTCACATATGCAAAATGTAAATGTTCCGATCCTAGATTTCAGAGGTAATTCCTTTGTAGATCCATTCAAGTAACACTGGTGACATGTGTGGTTAAAGTACTCAGCTATTGTTGTTGCTAAGTGCCGTCAAGTCAGTTCCAGCCCCTAGTGACTCTGTATAGGGTTTCCTAGGAGTGGCTGGTGAGCTTGAACCACCAACCTTGTGGTTCAAACAGACTTTGTTGTCCAGCATATTAACACACAACTCCACACCAGGACTGCAGTATATAGAATGATAGTGATTTATATAGTTCTGTCAGCCACCAGCATTTTCTCCTTTGTTTTAAACATTGTATGTTTTAGGGACCAAGTAGAAAGATGTGTCTCATCCTAGGGCAGAGGAAAGCTTAGAGTAGGAAAAGGCTCTGTTTGTTCCAGTTCTCAAAGTGTGCTCACCAGAATGGTGAACACTGGTACAGGACTCTCTGAGATTTTCTGGTTCATGCTTCTGAGTTTGCCTTGCCTGTTAAATGCCTCATTGGGGCACCCTCCAGTCCTGGCCTGGCTCCAGTGTGTCTGAATCCAATTTTGCCCTAAGTCACAATTTTCTGGCTCTTTCCTACTTCAGCTATGGTGGCCGAGCCTGCGGAGCGTAGCTGTGCAGAGAGTGTGCAGCCATTCCTGGCATCCATTCTGGAGGAACTCATGGGACCAGTGAGCTCAGGATTCAGTGATGTCCGCTCACTCTTTGAAAAAGAAGTGGATGAGCTCAGCCAGAGCTTTCAGACAACTAGAGATACTGTTCAACTAAAGGAGGTAAGAAAATAAGTCCAGGAGCTGAGTATGAATGGTCTGCCTGACTAGTCCGTGTCTATGTGGCTTTATCTACCAACCAGTTACCTGTCCATGCATTTATCTTTCTCGTTCCCTCTCTCCTCCCCTCATTCCCTCTCTCCCTTCCATCCATTCATCAATTTTTCCATCCACCTAGCCTTCTTTATATATGTCCAACCACCCATCTGTCCTTCTGCTCATTCATCTCTCTATTCATCCACTGGATTTTCTTTATTGATGGTTTTCAAGTTACAAAAAATCACCTATTTGAAAGAAGTAAAGCAATGTACTCAGAACTATAAACAGGTAAGATTAACCACCATCACCCATACGCCTCTAATCCTAGTACACTCCCAACTCCTAGGTCATCTCCACTCCCAACTCTCTGAATTAACTAATATAAATAGTTTAGTATGTGTTTGGCTATACTTTATCCTCCTTGTGCATACAAATATATATCCTCATATATAAAAGTATAGATCAGCATCATGACATAGATCCGTGTCAGTCTCATTAGACTTTTTAATATATATATATACACACTTTTTACTGTGAATTGAGTGAAGGGGATTATAGAGTAAATTGATACTTGAAAATGAAAAATTTTAGGCCTGACACCAGACCTTCTGAATTTGAAACTCTGGTGTCGGGGGTGTCAGCAGCTATGTAATTGGGAGATTCTAATTCACCCTAATGTTTGAGCATCACTGACACAGATACAACTCAGCAACTTGATTTTACATTTAACAAATCATGTGGACATCCCTACAAGTTAGTAGTTAGTTCCAGACAGCTCTGTTTCATTTCCTTTCTCACTTCTTTATGCCAATACATATACACACATCTATATAGACAAGATAATTTCTTCTTGAGCCTTGTTTTCCTTGCTTTTATTCCCTTTCTTCCCTCCCCACACCATACCCTTTCCTCTAGTAAGTAGTGATAAACTACGTAGAATAGTCTTTACACACACACATTTATACATTGTTTCTTAGATTGCGTATTCAAAATGAGATTATACTATATACAAGGGGGCAACAAAAGTTCATAGAAAAATGTCAGTATCTTTTTTTTTTTTTAATAAATGTTTTATTGTGAATTATGTGATAGTTTACATGGGAGACCATTGGTTTTACATTCATTCTATCATATATCGTTTCATTGCCATAGTTACAATCTCATCCATGCATCATCAACCAACCAAAGGGTATACCCTGCAAGCCTTCCCCCCACCCCCGGTCATCAGCACACAGCCCCTTTCCCTCTCTGGATCTCAAGTCCCCAGCCACTCTCCGCATCATCACCTCTGCCTCCATCTCAGGTGTCACTGCTTCTCTGGGTAGGGTCCCGCTCTCTGTTCTTCTCCATTGATGGTCCCAGGGCCCTCCACTCCTAGACTGAAAAGTTAATCACTCCCCTCCTTGCTGTAAAATGTTGACCTTTACATTTCCATCCCTCACAATCAGTCCTGATAACAATTATTCACTATTGCATCACAAGAGACCCATCTGCATTTCATTTCATCAGCCAGTATCTTTTAATTCCATCTTTTCACAAATGTTTTCAAGCCCCATCACATACTATTTTGCTTATTATTTTTCTCATTCAAAAACACTCATGAAACTGCCCCTAAGTTAACTGGTCTAGCTATTTCATTGTAATGGTGTGTAATATTATCACTATGTATGCACTGTGATTTATTTAATCATCCCATGCTTGCTAACACCATGAAAGCTGCAATAAATAACTTTATACAATGATGCTTTTATTGTCATGGGCTAGATTCCTGGAACAGGATGGGCACAGTGAAAACTAGCCATATTTCTAATGTTAACAAATATTCCATTTACATACCAAAAGTAGATTTAGTTTTCTTATTTCCACCATTCAGGTTTGGTTTGGCTGTAGCCCTATATACCCATCAGCAATAGAGTGTTATCACTTGTTTACAAAAACTTTTCACCAGTCTGATAGGAGCAAAGGGGTAGTGGTGTGCCGTGGAGTCGATTCCAATTCATAGTGACCCTGAATTGGACTTCCAAGGCTGGAAATCTTTACAGGAGCAGAAAGTCTCAACTTTCTCCCATAGAATGGCTGGTAGTTTTAGTATCCCATGTTTTCCTCCCTTATCTGTTTAAATCTATTGTTAAAAACTGGGCAACAAGGCAAAATTTTCAACAGCATACTTCTGACCATTAATTCCATCTCAGCAAAACCCTCTATAACTCACTTCTTAACTAACCAACCCAACTGTCTAGGACTCTGTTCTGACTCCTGGCTCCCCTATGTGCATCAGAGTAGAACCTGTGCTTCATGGGATTTGCAATGGCTGGTTGTTGGGAAGTAGCTCACCTCTGAGTGGACTCAGGCCTCAACCTGTCAATTATCCGCCAAGCTCATTAATCATATGCACCTAGGGCATTTTCCTTTAAAAGCACACTAAAAATGGATGATCTCTAGATTTCTGTGTGTGTTTGGAGAAATGAAGCTATATCCTTTTCTGGGCTCTGATAATCAGACAGTACTCCCTACATTGTGTATGTTTTTCTCCTCACCTTGCTTCTCAGTTCTTAGAGTGGGGAACCTCTCCTGAGAGTTTCCATTTCCTTCCTCTCTGTCTTCTTTCTTTCCACTAACTCTTCTGTTCATTTCAAATCTCAAATATTTAATTTTTAAGTGTGTTTTTAGACAAACTTAGAAAATAGCATGCATTTTGTTTGCAACAACCTTCCTAGTGTAACAGGATATAATTACACTTGGGGCCAGATTTAGTCTGACACTGTCCTTTTGCTGAAGCCCTATGACCTTATCAATTGAGTTCTGACTTGTGCAAATTACAGTAGAAGAAACCCTGTACTCATTCAGGCTTTATGTACCTCCCCAGCACTAGCTCCATAGAGTAACCTGCAGCAGAGGAAAACTGTTGTCACCAAAGAGCCTCAGAATTGTGGGGAACTCTAACTTGGCATCCAGCGAACATGAGTCCAGGGAACACCCCTAACCTGTCAGGGGTTTACTGAGAGGAACACCACTCATTAAGCGAGGTTTTTGAGGCTCATGGACCCAGCTGAACTTCCATGCACCAAAGAACTTGCCTGTCTGCCCCATCCTTGAGCTGTGCACTTGGGAGCTTGGAGACCATCAAAAGCCTAAAGGACGAGAGCCTCCTAAGTGCACCCCTGAGTCTTTCCTTTGCCCAGTTGACTTTTTCTACCAATCATTTGCTGCCCTAGCAATAAAACCATGCAGGGACACACTGAAGGAGGGAGACAAGACAATCAAAGAGGTCACAGATATCCTTAGCCAGTTAGTAATTTGCTCTAATAATGCTTATTTGATTGTTTAGAATTTTAGATAATGTCATTCCTAAATCTGAAGGTGTTTAATTTTTCTCTTCACCAAAATGCAGCATCTAGACAAGCTTATGAATCTTCCACTGGATTCCATGAAGATGGAACCTTGTTATAGTAAAGTCAACCTGCTTCAAGAGCGCCTGCAAGATCTCAGGAGCCGCTTCAGATTCCCCCACGTGGACCTGGTGATCCAGAGGACCCAGAACTACATGCAAGAGGTGGGACTGTCAGGACCATCTGTGTGAATGAGGATGGAGCAAGAGCCAAGAATTAAGGGCTGTCAAATGAGACCGTGTGCTAGTATAGCTGGGGGAAACCGGGTACATGTCCGTAGTCATCATGTTGGGTGAGGATGTATTTTGTCCTTAGAGCTGACTTCATCTTTCTTCTAAGTTGATGAACACCATACCCAAACCATAGCTATTAAGTTGATTCTAATTCATAGCAACCTTAGAGGATAGAGTAGAAATGCCCCATTGGGCTTCCAAGGCTCCAAACCTTATGGATACAGACCACCATACTTTTCTCCAGTGGGTGTGACCTTTGATTAGCAGCTGAACGTTTACTCACCGTGCCACCAGGACTCCTGATGAACCCCAAACCAAACCCATTGCCACTGAATCTCCCATTGCCATTGAATCAATTCTGACTCCTGCTGACCCTGTATAGGATTTCTGAGACTTTACGGAAGCAGACAGTCTCCTCTTTCTCCTGTGGAGTGACTGGTGGGTTTGAACATCAACCTTTTGGTTAGCAGTCCAATGCTTATCCTACAACATGTAGCTGAGATTTATCCACTATGGTATATGAGAGAAACAAAACAGCATCTCTTGATTTATCAAATTGGTGCTTTGACCTTGGTTGTACATTAGGGTCACCTGGGAGCTTTTAGAAAATGCTAATATTCATACCGCACCCTCAGTGATTCTCATTCTGCTCATTTGGTAATTTTTTCTAAAGCGCTTTCCCTCCTTCAATCCCTTTCTACTGCTTCTAGTGTGGAGCCAAGGTTGAGAACCAGTGGTTTAATTACCTAGCCCAGTTAAGAGTAAAACTATAATAATACTAAATAACAGTTTCACAGCCATCATATTTGAGTTTTTTGGGTCTACTAAGTACACTGTCTTTTCTTTTCCCCACATGGAACATTTCCCCTAGAAACAGGAATGAATAGTACAAACTCTTTTCCATATTATTCCATATTGTTCAGTGTCTCTGAGTCAGTTCCAACTCATAGTGACCCTGTATAGAGTTTCCAAGGAGCGACTGGTGGGTTGGAACTGCCAGCCTTTCAGTTGGCCATCCAATACTTCTCCCTACAGCGACACACCAGGATCTTTTTCCATATTGTTGTTAAGTGCTGTCACATCAGTTCTGACTCATAGTGACCCTGTATAGGGTTTCTGAAGAGTGGCTGGTGAGTTCGAACTGCTGACCTTGTGGTTCAAACCGACCTTGCAGTCGTGCTTATCCTACAGTGCAGAGCTTTCCAAATGAAGAGAGGGTGTGATCCTTGGAACTTTTGAGGACACAATTCTATTCAACAGTCTGGGAGAGCTTCCTGGGCACCAGACATTCTTGGAATCACACTTCATTGAGTTCATAGTGAGATCAATTCTTAGACAAATTCATTATGGTCTTGGAAATGCTATGATAAAGTTGTGTATTGGATGCTGTCAGATCATAATCTTAGGGAAGAAAGCAGAGTTTTTGTTTTTGTTTTTCTTTAATAGTGGTGGGCAGGATTAAGAAAGATATCTTATCATTACCTAACATTTGAGAGGGCTGAAAGAAGCACCTGGTACAAAACTGGGCAACAGTTTACCAGAACCCCTTTGATGATTCTGGACTCTGCTGAACTTGCTAGAATTACAAATGCAAAGAATAAGAAAATCTAAACGACTTCCATTTTCTAACCCTTTAGTGTATCAAGCCAGGCTTACAAAGACAGAAAGAGCCGTGAGGTGGGAGGATGCAGTGAGAGAGATATATTGCAGGATGGTTTGCATCCATCTAAAAGTGGAGGTGCAGAATCGAAATGCCAGAAAGTTTTGGAGAAGGCTTCTATTTAATCCCCTTAAGATCTGGCAGATACCAGAGAATGGGAGACTAGAACTGAGTTTCTCAATCCCACCATAAACTGAATATTCCAGTTTAGGGCTGAAGAGAAGAGATGAGGGTGGGGTGGGAGAGACATGAACACACACACACACACACACATCAATGATCCCACCCTTACAGATCCCTCTAAGTACTTGTCAGTCTATCTCACAGCCCAAGTGTGGGAGATGGACCTGTTGCCCTGGGTCACCCCTCAAGGTATGCCCAGGGGCAACCATCTCTGGTGGTTAATTCCTTCTGCCTGTAAGCAGTTTTAGACAGTACTGGGGACAGTGATTCCAGCTCTGACTGTGGTCTGTTTCTGTGTTCCTTTTGCTCTCTAGCTGATGGAAAACGCAGTATTCACGTTCATACAATTACTTTCCCCACATCTTCAAGGAGAGGCCTCCAAAACTGCAGTCTCCATTGAGAAGGTTAAACTTCGAGTCCTAAAGGTAAATCTAAACTTTCTCTTATTTCTGAGACACATAGAAGAGAAATGGAGCCCTGATTTATTTTATTAGGTGAAAAACACCATGTTCCTGGTTTCATTCTCCCCTTCTCTTTCGTTTCAGTCTTTCCTCCCTCCTTTCTCTGACTAAATTTGTGGTTGTTGTTAAGTACCATTGAGTAAGTTCTGACTCATAGTAACCCTGTTTAGGGGTTCTGAGGAGCAACTAGTGGATTTAAACTGCAGACTTTTTGGTTTGTAGTCCAGTGTTTATCCTACAGTGCCACACCAGTGACTAAAATTAAGCTGATTTCTCCAGTGTGACTTTCATGCTTCTTCTGCCATCTGGTGGCTATTTTAGGATCTACAGCTCCTCAGCATCTGTCCGCTAGAAGTAACACGTGCAGCTTACTTCATAGCAATTAGACTTGTTGTTAAGTGCCGTTCAGTTGGTTCTGATTCATAGTAACCCTGTATAGGGTTTCTGAGGAACAGCTGGTAGGTGTGAACCACCAACCTTTTGGTTATTTGTTGTTATTGTTAAGTACTGTGGAGTCGGTTCCGACTCATAGTGACCCTGCACAGGGTTTCCAAGGCTGCAAATCTTTATGGGAACAGAAAGCCTCATCTTTCTCCCGTGGAACAGTTTCGAACTGCCGACCTTGAGGTTAGTAGTCCGATTCATAACAACTACGCTGTCCAGTGCTTATCCTACAGCACCACACCAGGACTATCAAGTCTAATTGGAGTCCTCATATGGCATTGTTGAATAAGCACTGGACTGCTAACCATAAGGTTGTCAATTCAAACTCACCAGCCGTTCCTTGGAAACCCTATACAGTGTCGCTCTGAGTCAGAACTGACTGTACGGCACTTAACAACAACAACATAAATAAAGCATTGTGCAAAGTATTATGAGGGATTAAAAAAAAAAGACCCAGCTTCTTGCTTCAAAGAGCTTAGACCCTATTGTCATCAAGTTGATTTCAATTCATTGAACACTATAGGACAAAGTAGAACTGCCCTATGTAGTCTCCAGTGTTGTAAATCTTTACAAGAGCTGTGTAGTAGCTAGTGTTTGCAATATAGTATAATCAATCTAAACTGACCAGCATTTTTTTAGAAACATCAAAATTTTGTAGCAAAGGAAATATTCCAAGGAAGATACTTCCCATATAAAATTCTTTTAAAAGTGCTTCACATTATAAAATAGATACTTGAGGGGGAGAGCAAGGACTAGCCAGAAATATCACCATAGAAAGCTTTTAAGTCCATCCTCTGCCTATAACTGATTGGAATACTTACAATGGGGCTACGAAGTGCCCAGTGAAGGAGGCTTCCTGTGGAGCCTCTGCATTACATAAGACCATAGGGGGAATCCTGAACCCCATCCAGAATCTTCTGAGGTGGGAAATTTCCACTTGAAAGGACATGCAGAGCAGCCTGGAGCAACTAGAAGAACAGAAGATACTTCTTGAAAGAAAGACTGACCAACAGGAAAAATACAAAACAATAGTGGCAGTTCACTGACTACTACAAGAACAAGGAAATTGCTCACCCAGGAGACATCAAGGCAAGCAGCCGTGTCCGTGTCCCCTCAGGACAAACCCCCTTCCAAGACTAAGACTCAATGGGAATACATAAGCAGACATGTGGTCTGACTGGTGACCACAATGGTCACTGATAAGGGGAAGTGAGGGAAAAACAGCAATGAAGCAGCAAGCTAAGCCCTACCATGTTCAATAGACTCCTGTGAACCTGGGTGGAAACCTGGTTGGCCAGCAGTGTGGCAAGACCTGGGAACTCCTGGGCTCAGAGTCAGTGACATAGCCACAGAGGACTAGAGTGGAGAGTGAAGCATCCAACAGATAAGAAGTGAGGGCATATGCATAGGAACACCCACACTTGCAGATAATACCCATTTGACCTGGCTTCAATGGCTAGATGATCAGAATTCAACTAGAAGAGGAAAAAAAGAGTAATCTGATACAATTTGATGAACTTGACCTATACCTATGGATACAGTAGCTCAAAAGAGGGAACAAATCTTTACAGCGAGGATCTCACCCCCTCGATAAACAGGGTAGACAGGATTGGCAACTTGGACATTGGCTACCCAAATTGAGGGGTGCTACAAAGGCAAGCTTTCAAGAGGGAACCTAGATCCAGAGGGTGTGAATGGCTGGGGACTGTAGACCCAGAGAGGGAGAGGGGCTGGCTGTATGCTGACGACCAGGGTTAAGGCTTGCAGGGTATGCCCTTTGGTTGGTTGATGATGCATGGAGGGGAGTGTAACCATGGCAATGATACGATATACGATAGGATGAATATAAAACTAATGTTCTCCCATGTAAACTATCACATAATTCACAATAAAACATTACCAAAAAAAGTGTTTCATCTATGCAACAACAAATGTATAAATATATATCTAAATGGATCTAGTAGAAGGAGACAAGATGGCGGTGGAGTTAGCAGACCCACTGATCTGACCATCTGCAACAAAGACACAGGAGACTGAGTGAAACATACAGATGCTGATCCTGGAAATCTGAACATTAGGGGAGAGAAAAGGGAGGAAAACTGATTGCCAACTGGAAGAGGAAGGTGAACAGTGAATAGGATCAGCTAGAGAGAAGAAAAACAGGCAGACTGTGGGCTGGCATGAAGCAGCACCACCATCTTGGGCTTTTATGAGCAGCTATTGATACAGCAGCCTGCATGCACAGGACGTGGCTAGACATTGGTGGCAAGTGGGTACAGCTCTCCCTTGTTCCCATGCCTTCCTAATAGCTGGGGGCCAGTCCCTACTCTTGCCAACCCATCGACCAGTGGCACCAGCCACAACTCTTCCTGGGATTAGGCACTGGGCATAGTGCACTTGCTTCTGGAGGTGCAGAAATCCACCCTGAACCTACACAGTGAGCTGTGAACAAACTGAGTTCACACTTTTTGTCTCTTTTTGATTTCATATTGGTGAGTGCCTGGTGAACACACCAATATGAAATCATCAATCACATTTAAATATGACACCATAATGTCTCAGAGAAAGCAAACAATTTCCGTTTACATGAAGAAACAAGACAGAGTACCTCAAACAAGTGACCAGAATGCAGTCAGAAAATATAACACCAAAAATAGTGTTGGAACTACCTGATAGGAATTTCAAAGAATGCTAATTAGGCAACTTCAACAGATTGGGCGAATGATCAAGAAAGTTGCAGATGAAATCATGGAAAACATGGACAAAACTTTAGAAAAATTCAGGACACAAACTTACAAAATAAATGGGAATCATACAAAAACAGCAATCAGAAAACCAGAAGATTAACACTAAGACTTCAGAAAAAGGTAACATACTGAAAGGGCAAAGAAATAGAATTGAAGCAATGGAAGGCCAGATTGCTGAGCTTGAAGAAAAACAATAAAAAAAGAACTAACAAACAAAAAGTCTAAAATGTATGTTGGACATTATCAAGAATAACAATTTATGTATGATTGGAATTCTAGAATAGGAAGAGACAAAAACAAAACAAACAGAGAGAGTATTGTACAAGAGTTGTTGGAAGAAAATGTCCCTAACATGAAAACCAAGAAGTTGAACCATTCGAGAAGTTGAACAAACTCCAACCAGGATAGACCCCAAAAAGAAAAACACCAAGACATACTATAATCAAAACTTTCGAAATAGAAGACAAGGAAAGAATCCTGAGAGCCCCTCAGCAAAATGAAAAGTTACAGACAAAGGCAAACTACTAAGTAAGGCTAAGCTGATTTCTCAGCAGAAATCATGCATGCAGGAAGACAATGAAATAACACATATAATACTGTCAAAGAAATAATTGCCAACCAAAAATCATATTCTAGAAAAATTGTCTGTCAAATATAATGACAAAATTAGGTCATTTTCAGATAAACAGAAATTAGAAGAATTGGTAAAAACCAGACCAAGTTTACAAAAAAATACTAAAGGGTGTTCTTTGGACAGAAAACAGACAACAGCAGAAAATAACCTGAGATTAACATACATGATAATATCACCTAGACTGAGCCCAGATATGAAAGTATTCAAAGAAAAATAGACCTACAAGACGGAAAACAGAACCAGAGATATAGTTGCAACAACAATAAAAATAAAGTAGAAAGAGGAAATAATATAGTAACAGACTTCCAAATGAAGCGGAAATCAAGTAGATTTCAAGAAAAAGATAAAATAAAAATAAACCTGACTGTAATCCTAAAAACTAGACCAAGCCTACTCCTAATCCTTGTTCTTAACACTAACCCTAGTCCTAACCATAACCCTAACACTAAATGAAGTTCTACGCCAAGCCTAGACCTAGCTGTACTTCTAACCTTAGCCTTCATTCTTTACTTCTATCTACCCCTTCCACCTCCACTCACCCACCCCCAAAAAGAAACCAAGTACACACTAGCAGTCACTTCTGTTCTTACCCTTACCCTATCATCACCCACCACCCACCTCATCCCACCCACCACGCAACCACACACACACACACACACACACACACACAATGTTTATGATAATAGCAGCTAACATAAATTGTCGTTTGCCATTGAGTCAGCTCCAATAAATGAAATGTTGCCTGGTCCTGCAAACCCTTCTATACAAAGACCATCTTGATGATCTTTGATATATTTGAGACACTGTTGAGACTATTGTGACAAGCCATCTCACTGAGGCTTTTCCTTGTTTTGGTTGACGCTTTACCAAACATGATGTACTAGAGCATATAGGGTGTGTATCTATTTTTAAATGCAGTGTTTTTTTACCCACTTGGTTTCATTTGAACATCTTTAGAGCTGTAAGATACTTAGAATGTGTTCTACAAATGAGTAACTGGATTCTCTATGAGCTAAAGTGATTTATTTAAGCTCAATAGGCTGGCCAATGATGATCTTAGAGCTAAAACTCTCTAATTGTGGTCCACTTTTTCTTCTTCTAGTACAGGACCAGGCAGTGTTTAGTTCTGTTATACATAAAGATGCCATGTAGAGGAGCCAAGTAGAGAGCAACTAACAACAAGGAACTTCCTTAAAATAGTGTTTGAAGCAGAAGCTCCAAGTTCATGGAGCTTAGGGGTGGCTTGACCTTTATTTATTTACTTACTTATTAAGTTTTAATGTGAATTGAGTGATAGTTCACATGGGAGAACAATGGTTTTATACCATTGTTTCATTGCAATGATTATAATCTTCTCTGTGCATTATCATTCCACAGTATTTGCTTTTATTCCCTCTGGGTTGTTTTTTTTGAGAAGGCTACACAAAAACACTCAGGAATATATAATCATTTAAACAACCAAAGGGCACATTCTACAAGTCTATCTCCTGGCTCCCAGCACTCAGTCATTCTCTTTCCATGAGTCTAGAGTCCTCAGCTGCTCCTTCCATGTCCTCATCTCTGCCTCCATCTCTGGTGTCACTACTTCTCTGGATAGGGTCCTGCATTCCGCTTGTGCTCTTCTCCCTTGATGGTCCTATGGTCCCGTTTCTGGACTGTAAGATTAACTGCTCTCCCATTTTTGTTACGAAATGTCTACCTTTACAGTTGTGACAGTTATAATTAGGCATGGTAACAGTTACTCACTATTGAATCATAAGACTCTTATCCCTGTCTCTTTTCATTAGACCTGTCTAGACAAGATGAAAACTATACAGTGGGTACTCTACCTTCCCCCACACACTCTTAAACTAAACTCCCTCTTGAAAACTTTTAAGCTAGTCACTTCGTGCCTTTATCACTCCCTTATTTTAGGTAGCCATTGTCTAAGTTGGCCAACCCTATCTAACTTGCATACAGAGGGGATAGGATTGATACTTGATGTGAAGACTCCTTCCCTCTCAGTTGGTAATTTGAGCTACTACATCCATAAGTATAGGTCAAGTTCATCAAACTGTAGCAATTTACACTTGTTTCCTTTATCAAAAAATTTTTTTTAATCTTCCTTTAGTCCAGTTCTGATCATCAAGCCATTGAGGCTAGGTCTGCAAGTTTGGGCGTTCTTGTGCGTCTCCCTTCACTTCATATCAGCTAGATGCTTCATTCTCAGCTCTAGCCCTCCGGGGCTATGTCCTTGTTCATGGGATCAGAAATCCCCAGGTGTCACCACACTTTGGACCAACCAGCCCTTCCTCTTCTCTCTCTCATCTCCAGGTCAACTGGAGTCTATGGAACATGGTTGAACTCAGCCCATTTCTTCAATGCTGACTTTACCCCTCTTCCACTCACCAGTAGGCCAACATGGCTACATGCCTGCTTATGTGTTTCCTTTGTGTTTTAGTCGTAGAGGGGGGTTTGTCCTGAAGGGACTTGATTGCTTGCTTTAATGGCTATCTGGCAAACAATTTGCTTGTTTTTAGAGTAGCCAATCAGCCTGTCAGGCTTGATCTTGATGCCTCATTGTTGTTGTGAAGTGCCGCTGAGTCAATTCTGACCCATAGCAACCCGGTATAGGGTTTCCAAGGAGCAGCTGGTGAGCTTGAACCACCGACCTTACAGTTCAAACAACTTTTCAGTCTGATGCATTAGCCCCCAGGCAGGAAGAAATCCTGGCAACCAAAGTATCAGAGTTCAAAGCAATATTTATCCTGACAACACAAATGGTAAGGAAATTACAGTGAGATGAAAGAAAAGATAGTGTCAATATTATTCCTCAAAGGGAAATGGAGACACAGTCTAATTATCTCAGTTCTGTTAGCACAGAAAGAGAGGAAAAAGCAAGGGGAAGGCATTCAGATGTGAAGACCTCAGGTTAGAAAGGGACTCAGATTGCCTAGAGTTCATCTTCACATCCTTCTGAAGCAGCATTCCTGCCTGGCATGGATCCTCCAGTCTGTGCTTGGACATCTTTAGTGTCAGGATGCTTTCTTCTTCTCAGAATAGCCCATTTCACCTCTGGACACTTGTTACTGAAAGAACCTACTTCCAATGTTAGACCCAAGTTCCCATCCCTGGGAATTCTACCCCTTTTTTTGTTCATATGCTTCTTCCACATGACAGCCTTTGGTCATTGGAGCAGAGCTGTAAATTTTCCCCATGTTACTGTCTCCGGTGTGAATGCTTTCATGTTTTTACCCATCCCTCATTTGGCCTGGCCATTCTGCTCACTCTGATGACTATGTTCCAGGCTGTCTGTGGTTCCCTGAAACAGACTTCTAAAATCAAACCCTAATCTCTAGGCTTGGATGTTCAATCCATACCAGCATAAATACCATCTTGCTGGTGTTTCTTTGGTTAACATGTCACATCCTTTATGGAACTTTGAGCCAAGCCCGCTCTTTCTTTGAGGAAATCTATTACAACACACTGTTCCTGCTTTCAGATGTAGAGCAAAAGAAGCAAATGGTCCTGGCTCCCCTGCACATAACCCCAGTGAAGGTGATGAAATACATACCAGACTCCAGTTCCAGCCCCAACTTTCTCTATAAAACAAAAGTAACTCTGATTTTATCTTACCTCAGATCCTGTATCTGTAAAAGGGGGAGGTGAGATGGGTCATTATCAATCATAACATCCGCCTGCATTGAGAAAGAATAGTGCAGAAAGTTCCTGAGACCTTAGAAAACAAAGCATCACAGGAGTCCTCAGAAATGACCGGGGGAGATGAAATGGGCAGCTGAGGTTTCTTGTTTAAGCAAAAATTAACAGATTGCAATATTGCTATTTAGCATATGTTTCTATCTTTGTATTGACAGCAATATGATTACGACAGCAGCACCATCCGGAAGAAGATATTTCAAGAGGCTCTGGTTCAGATCACACTTCCCACCGTGCAGAAGGCTTTGGCATCCACGTGCAAACCAGTAAGGGAATGGGCTACCCTAACGGGCCTGCTCTTATTTATTGTCTATAAGCTTCAAGCAAAGGTCTGTTGGTAATGATGTGCTCACAAACAGCAGACTAGTCCAGCAAACTTTTCTTGTTAAAAGTCAGAGAGTAAATACTGTGGACTTCGAAGACTATAGTCTTCTTCACACAACTCAGCTCTGCCATTGCAGCATAGACAATATGTAACAAACATATAAACAGAAACAAACCAGTCTAGCTGTGTTCCTACAAACCCTTCTTTACAATAACAAGCAGCTGGCCAGAGTAGCAGATCCCTGGACTATTCAGAATCTCAAAGATAACGCTCTGAGTTTAAAAGTCAAGCTGAGAGCAGATACAGACCGCTGGCAATATCAGGTGTTCACAATAGAATGGTTCTTAGGTCCATTGGATACTCAGGAATTCTACCACTATATTCAGGAAAATACCTTCAGATGATTACAGAAGGATGCTACAAAGACATTGGTCTTGTTAAAAAACAAACAAACAACAAATCAACAACAAGAAACCCAACCCCATTGCTGTGGAGTCCGTTCCTACTCATAGCGATCCTATAGAACAGAGCGGAACTGTCTCCACAGGGTTTCCTGTCAATATCATGGAAGCAGACTGTCCCATCGATCTTCCAAGAGGGTAGCTAGTGGGTTCACACTGTCAGCCTGTCAAATTAGCAGCCAACCACATCATCTTATTAAATACAGCCATACTTGTTTAGGGAAATTAGTGAAACTATTTAATTTGCTGCAAAAATCAAACCTTCAGTGGCAGCCATGATTATGAAAGTATGACTCAGTCTGCAGAGCTGACTCTGGATGAGTGGACTCTGGAGGGAGCTATCTGGGTAACAGTCCTGGCTTCTCCACATGTCAAGTTGGGAGCAGTGGGTAAGTCAGTTTTCCTCTCTCAGTCTAGATTCTATCTTCTATAGGATGAATATAATAATGCTTTGTATTATCTTACTTAAGATTAAGAGAGAGAATTGTTGTTGTTAGCGGTCATTAAGTTAGTTCTGATTCATGATGACCTCTTGTGTGCGGAAAAGAACTTCTCCATAGGGATTGCAAGGTTGTCATCTTTCCAAAGCATATTGCCAGGCTTTTCTTCCAAAGTGCTTCTGGATGGGTTCAACTGCAAAACTTTCGGCTAGCAATCAAATGATTAAACGTTTGTGTTTAAGTGGCTCCTAAGAGATGTGCAAGGAGTCCTGATGTGGGCTGTGGGTTAATGCACCAGACTGCAAAGCCGTCTGAACTGCAAGGTTGGCAGTTCAAGCTCACCAGGTGCTCCTCGGAAACCCTATACAGGGTCGCTATGGGTTGGAATCGACTCGACAGCTCTTAACAACAACAAAGAGATGTGCAAAGACTTGGATTTAGAAAACCAAAAGGGAATAACACACTCAACATTTCTCAAGCTGAGGGAACTGAAGAAAAATTCGAGTCTCAACTTGAAATATTGAAGGATTCTATGGGTAAAATATCATTAATATCAAAATATGCAGAAAATATCAAAAGAGGATGGAAGGAACACATAGTCACTGTACCAAAAAAGAAATTGTCGATGTTCAACCATTTCAAGAGGTAGCATACGATCAAGAGCAAATGATAGTAAACAAAGTAGTCCAAGGTGCATTGAAGGCATTAGAAAAGGACAAGGCTCTAGGAATTGATGGAATACAAACTGAAATATTTCAACAAACTGATGTGGCACTGGAAGCACTCACTCATCTATGCCAAGAAATTTGGAAGACAGCTACCTGGCCAAATGACTAGAAGCGATCCATATTTGTGAGTATCCCAAAGAGAGGTGACCCAACAGAATGTAGAAATCATCAGACAATATCATTAATATCTCATGCAAGTAAAATCTTACTAAAGATATTACAAAAAGAGTTTCAAACATACATTGACAGAGAACTGCCTGGGGTCCAATCTGGATTCAGAAGAGGATGTGGAATGAGGAATATCATTACTGATGTCTGATGCATCTTAGCTGAAAGCAGAGAATACTAGAAAGATGTTTACCTGTGCTTTACTGACTACACAAAGGCTTTTGATTATGTGGATCATGACAAACTATGGACAATATTACAGAGAATAAGTATTCTGGAACACTTAGTTGTGCTCATGAGGTACCTGTGCATAGACCAAGAGGCAGTTGCTCAGGTGGAACAAGGGAACACTGAATGGTTTAACATTAGAAATGTGTGTGCACCAGGGCTGTATTCTTTCACCATGCTTATTCAATCTATATGCTGAGCACATAATCAGAGAAGCTGGATTATATGAAGAAAAATGTGGCATCAAGATTGGAAGAAGTCTCATTAACAACTTGTGATATGCAGATGATACTACCTTGCTGAAAGTGAAGAGGACTTAAAATAGGTACTGATGAAGATCAAAGACCACAGACTTCTGTATGGATTGCACCTAAATGTAAAGGGAACAAAAATCCTCGCTAGTAGACTAGTAAACAACATCTGTCTAAATGGAGAAAAAAATTAAAGTTGTCAGTGCTTCATTTGCTTGAATCAAACATTAACACTCATGGAAGCAACAGTCAAAAAAATCAAATGATGTATTGCACTGGGCAAATCTGCTGCACAAGATTTCTTTAAAGTGTTTGAGAGCAAAGGCATTAGTTTGAGGACTAAGGTGTGCCTGACCCAAGCCATAGTCAATAACCTCACAGGCATGTGAAAGTTGGACAGTGAATATGGACGACTGTACAAAAATTGTTGCATTTGAGTTATGGAGTTAGAGGAGGATGTTAAAAGTACCATGAACTGCTAAACAAATGAACTGCTCTCTGTTGGGAAAAGTACAGCCAGAATGCTCCCTGGAAGCCAAGATGGCCAGTCTTCATCTCTCATTCTTTGGACACATTGTCAAGAGGGACCAGACCCTGGAGAAAGATATCATGTTCGGTAAAGTGGAGGGTCACAGAAAAGGAGGAAGACCCCCAACTAGATGGATTTGCATAGTGGCAGAAGCAATGGGCTCAAACATAGCAATGATTGTGAGGTTTACACAGGACCGAACAGTGTTTTGTTCTGTTGTGCATGGGGTCACTATGAGTTGGTAGTGAGTCAATAGCACATAACAACAACAAGAATGAGGACTAGAATGATACAATTAATATGTGATGAGTGCTTGCTATATGCTGGGCACTATGTTAAACACCTCATGTGAATTATCCCGATCATTCTCATGACAGCTCTCTGAGGTGATGGTGGTGAGGAGGTACTGATAATATCCTCATACAAATAAGGAAACTGAGGGGTTAAGAAGTGAGTCCAAAGTCACAGAGCTGGTAACCACCGGCGCTAGAAACCCAGTCACACTCACCTATCACCTGGTAGCCACAGAGCAAGTGGTTTATCATTATCATTAATTACTACTACTACTTTTACATTTCAGAAATGATCTGTGAGTCTAAACATTTGCTCCTTATTGGAAATTTTAAAACGTTTTGTATGAATTATGTTTCTTCAGATTATTGTTGTGTTCGGTGCTATCAAGTCAGTTTAGATTCATGGCGACTTTGTATAGGGTTTCCAAGGAGCCGCTGATGGGTTTGAACTGTAGACCTATAGGATAAACATCTCAGTGCTCATCTTACAACACCACACCAGGATTGTTGTTTGTTAAATGCTGTTGAGTCGGTTCTGACTCATAGTGACCCTGTATAGGATTTGTCATTGTTGTTAAGTACCGTCATGTTGGTTCCAACTCATAGCCACCCTGTAAAGGGTTCCAAGGAGAAGCTGGTGGGTTTGAACCACTGACCCAAATTGACCTTGAGGTCCAGTGCTTATCCTACATATGAGACTTTAAATCTTTGCAGGAAAAGAAAACCTCATCTTTCTCCCATGGAGCAGCTGATGGACTCAAACCTCCCACCTTGTGGTTCACATCCCAGGGCTTATCGTACTCACAGACATATCTAACCCATACGTGATGCCAATGAGTAGATTCTGATGCATAGCAACCCTGTAAGACAGAGTACTACTGCCCCATAGGGTTTCCTAGGCTGTGATCTTTATGGAAACAGACTAGGACATCTTTCTCCCTCGGGGTAGCTAGTGGGTTCAGACCACTGACTTTTGTTAGCAGTTGAGCGCTCAGCCATTGTATCACTCTGTACAGCTATATATAGTACCTGGCATTTATTTCTAGAGTATACTTTTTTAAAATAAAAAAGGATTTAATCAACCAAAGGAGTAAAGAATCAGCCTACATGACTACCATTTGGCTTTAGGCGAATGGAAACATTCATCAGCTCTGGATGTATGTGGCCGACAGAGGCTTTGCTTCTGGTGTTTTTCTCCTTCAACCTCAAAGGATGGTTTGGGTACCTCACAACCATCTTTCAGTGCATTGAATCACCTAATATGGCCCTTCTAGCTATATGGGGTCCTAATGTGGCACTGTAGGTTAAGCACTGAACTGCTAGCCACAACGTCAGCAGTTGAAACCCACCAGTCATTCTTCAGAAACCCTATCCAGAGTTGCTATGAGTTGGAGGTAACTCAGTGATGCTGAACAACAACAGCTACCTATGGTCTTGCAAATCTTTCAAGATGATTGGGTGGGATTTTGCAAATAAGCTGTTTGTGGCCCACCAAATCCACCAAGGGGATTTGACAGATTGCTAATAATGCAAATAAGGGAATTGGTCAGTTTTGCCATCTGGTTTGGCTTAAAATGAGCCATGCCAGAGGCGGGAAGGGGGAACTTCACTACCAACAAGCAAAAATGGCCAGGAATGGCGTGCATCCTTTAGGCTTGGGAACCCTGTGCTGAAAACCTGCCAGACACATGAGACAGTGCAAAGGAGAGACCTGTAACACCAGGGATGGCACAAGATGCCGAGGAACAAATGGCAGCAGCAGATCCAGGAGAAGGGAGCAAGAAGGTGCAGGGGGCTCCCTGGCCCTCAGAATGAGAAACCAGAGACCCTTTGGGCAGGAGGC